TTTTCAAATAAAATATTTTAAAATTTTGAGAAAATCAATTCCGGGGAATTATTATTGGTGATTTTTTTCCGGAGATTATTTTCCGCTTACCGTTATGCATTGCCTAATGGCGGCATAAAGAGTGACAAAAAAATGGGAGGCAAAATATATATTTAAAATTTTAAAAAATTATTTAAAGCATGAAAGAGATCGAAATGGATAATAAAATAGCATAGCATGCACTAAATCTAAAAAACTCAACGCAAAGCTTATGTCATAAAAAATATACTTATTTTTTGTCAACCTTTTATCATTTATTTTGTTTATTCGTTTTATTTGAGGGCTAAGAGAACGAATGATAAATAAACTCTCTCATCTCGATAAAGATATCGGAAACATGCGCGACCAAAGTAAAAGGTAATGGCGTGAATATGGGCGAAGGAGGGAGTATAATGGGGTTCAAAAACTGATGATAAACTAAATCAATTTTCTCTGTGACTTTCATTTATTGTAACCGATTGCGCAAAATGCATTGTAGATGCTCGATCATTCTTTGGCCTAAACTGCTCTATGTTTTTTTCTCTCTCGGCGTCTACGGATAGAAAACTCGAATTAAATTCTTACATAGCATTAAAAAAGGTCCGTTATAGTCGGTGGAGTCACTTATTTACATCATAAATGCTAAGTTGTAGTTAACTAACTCTACGATGCCTTATTTCTAATTATATTCAAGATATGAACTTAATAGGTTGTTCAACATGCCTTCCAACCAAAATAGATGCGCACTCGCATGCGAAAATTATTTGTTACTATATATTATAAATAATCTATTATGATTGGGTTAAAATTTAGTAATTAGCATAGTGCAAATAGTCCACAAGCAAACGGTTGAGTTGTATTCTCCAAATATTTAGTACTCGCTATCAAGAGTATTTTGAGATTTTATTTAAAAAAACTATTAAGGATAAAATGGATATGTTCAAATAAATATTATTAATCGCGAGCTTCATTTACTGTCAGTATTCATTTCTCATATACAGTGGTAGTTTTTTTTTGATTGACTGGAGGAGGTGGAGAACAAAATCTCTCTCAAATATTGTAAAGATTTGATAATCATATTGATGGAACAATGATACATTAAGATGGATGTGTTAAACAATTTTTAAAATTGTTTTACAAACTCGTTGCACCAAAAAGTATAACGCAAGCTGTACTAAAATTTATTCGTAAGCTGTAACTTGAAATTTATTTACGATAGAAAACTATACAGGAAATTTAGGCCAACTCGGCAACATAAACGATATTAATAACAATGGCATATGACAAATAATATCGTTAGAAGTTAACACAAACAAAAAGATCTAAGGTCAACCATGAGCGATAAAAGTTAACTGGTTTTTCGGTGTTATCCATTGATTCCGAATTGGCGTATATATAAACTTAAATTTTGATAAAATTGTCCAAAGTCTTGAACAAAATTATATATTAATAATCAATAAAAGCGCGTATTATTTAGAGTTTGTAAAAGGCGGCAAATAAAATTTGTCTATGCCTAATTTATAGTACGCACTTTGTCAAAGTGGTGCGGTATTAAACGCTATCGAAATCACAGCTATTTCTTTGCATCGACAATTATTTTGAAATATATGTCGCAACATATGTTTTATGCAATTTTATCATTTCATCATTTCGCTCCATATTTATAAATTATGCGTATTTAATTGAGAAAATCGCGCTTATTATATAGGAATGTCAGCTTTAGAGAAATCTGTTAATGATGTATGCCGTCAATCACTACATAGTAATTTACTAAACAAAGGCCAAATTTAAAATGTAAGACCCATTTTTAATATAATATTACTTACCCCAAATCATGTTAGTTTCCGATCTGCAATATTTTATACCCCGTAGCAAGGGAATACCTAGTTCTTCAGGAGAAAAAAAACTTGTTCTTTCTGGATTCGATCGATGGCAAAGTTTAAAAGTAATTCCCCAATTAACGTCTATGATGACTGCGCAATGGATGCGTGTGTAAAGATAATTAGCGAAGTTATTCATTATTTTAATAAAAACACAAAGAAACAATAAAGTTGGATGGCGCTATACATCATTACCCAAAAATCTGAGTCCTTAATAATAAAATAAAACTAAATAAATAAAGCTATAAAATTATACAGGGTAGTTCTAAATGTGTGATTTTAAAATATTAGGTATTAATGCAATTACAAAAAATGCCCGAAATATATAATTTTTTGGAAATGCTATTTTGCAACACTCGATTTATGATGCTCTATTATGTACTTAGTGGAACTTATAAAATTCGTACTTTGTATTGTTATAATTATAATATAACCCATTAACGTACTACAATAGTAAAGGAAGTCCTTGCCGCGTGTCTTATTTAGTTATTATATTATAATTGATTTAAATTATTGATTATTTTTCTTTTGTGTCATCAGCAACGATTTATCTAATAACTAATTTGTTTTAAATTTCAAAAAACACATTTTTTCTCATATATTCTTTTCCTTGTAATGAAATCAAGAACCAAAAAATTTTTTAAAAACATGCCATCATTATTTCCTTCCATTTATCTTTCTTTCGTAGTCGATCTTCGAGAAGAAAACACTTTTTTTTGTAAGAAAAACAAAAATAATAAAATTTTAATTACTTGTGTGGCGGGGTATTAAAAATTTTATGTTGAAACAATGATTATATTGTACTATAAACAAATATAGTGAGGAAAACTTGGAAATATGTAGAACCTATTATTGTCGGAGGACATAAAAAAATCCGATTAATTTAGGACAAGCAGGACCGTTAAAACAGCTTACGATGCATACAGGGCTCCAATTATTAGCGATCGTTTATTATGTTAGAACTGAGGAAGAATAAAGGCGGGAAATATTTTACAAATTTAGGATTTCTAAAGAAATTCAAAAAACTAAATTGTCAATAAATGGAACGATATGAGTTGGGGATATCGTATGTGTAAAAATTATTTCAAAAAGAAAATTACAAATAAAAAAATATGTTTGTTTTTTTGTAAATTGATTGGACATTTTTTATAAACATAAAAAGTATGATAAATTTTTCCAGAAAAAAAAAATAATAAATGCCAATTAGTGTCGTTAAACGGCTCGTTTTGAGCCGATTTTAAAAAACGGCTAACTCAATATTTTAGCAGGAAAAATATTGTATAAGCCTCGGATTTCGATAATATATGTCTAGAGCTTTGTTCCTTCTATGAACATCTTCAGGTTTGTGTAATATTTATCTGGATGAAGTTTTAAGTTAGCCGCTAAGTTCACAACCAGCCGTTTAACAACACTAATGCCAATAAATAAAATATTTTAATATTGCTATCAAAAACTTGACATATTTAAAAAAAAAAGTCATATTTTAGTTGCAAAAGTTGAACAGTAAAAATAACATTGGTGATGCATCACAAATCAATTAGGCATACAAACAAATCTTTTATCATTTGTTCAATTGTATTCAAAACTTATTGTTAGATAAAAATTTGACATTATTTGTTAACTTTGGAATTTTGCTAGTGGATCTCACATTTATATTGTAAACACCATTTTTTTGAATTTTTTAATAAAATGAAAATTTAACTGGATGTTATTATTTTAAATTTGCCTTGTCAATCTTATCAATAAATATTAGAATCAGTGATGATTCAAATATTTGATTTTAATCATTATGCATAAGAATCATCCATCTATTTACTTTTGAAAAACGTTAAATTTTTTAAATAATCAACAAATTGAATAATAATTTAATTGTTCATACAAATATGAATATATTTGTAATATTAATAGTTAATATAATAATGCATTATTCAATTCAATTCCTATTTTAGTAGCCATAATTTTATGAAATAAAATTCTTATTCAATAATAATCATATTAGCCTAAGGTATACCAAATACCAGTAATGTATTGCAAGCATCTTAGGGCCAAAATATTCTTATGGGCTCATTCACATTATTTTTGAGACTTTAAATTTTAGAATGTATCCACCTACACTTCAAAGGTGTATTTAAGCCTTATGTTTTATGTAAATATACTGACAATAAATTATAATGGTTAAATTATCATTATATGCTAAAAACGAAAGTAAAATAGCATTTATAGAAAAATGTAACAGAGATCTGCTATATTAATATCATAGATGTATATATAGGAATTTTTATAAAAATTGTAAAATTGTAAATAATACGTTATATTCCACCCATCCTGGTTAAAAAAAATCATCATGAATCTTCTAGCCAAATTAGGATGTTATTTAATGCAAATTGGTTACTGTTTTTAGCAATGTAACTTATATATTTAATTAGATTAATTCCAAAATTCAGTAAGAAAAATTGCAATCAATTTCATTTTTAGGATAAGGTTTAGAATATTAAAAATTATGTTTCATCATAAGAATTTTAATCAGTAAATAAACAAAATTGTCTTCTAATGATTTTAAAATATTTTCAAATGTATATTGTTTTTTTTAAGTGTAAAGACACCTAATGTGTGACAACCACTTTGTTCCCATAGCAGCTACATCAACCTGCTCTTTTGGACAAGCAGCATTAGATCTCTTCAAAATAAAATTCAAATCAATAAAAAAATCATACCTGTCTCCATTTTATGACTCAAGCAAAAAACACCATATCTATAATTAGATCTAATTATTAAATATTTAAAACATGGCCCAATCTCGCCACTTGATATTTATTTTTTTAAATGTTTTTTCTTTTTATAAAAATATACATTTGTATAAATCTTTTTTTTTAACTTAAACTTATATATGACATATTTTATTATATTCTTTATATTATAATGTTAATTTTTTAATAATATTTTATCATATTTGTATATGAATTTTAATAAAAAAATTGTATTTTTATATTAAATAATTTTTTTTATTTTTGTCTTATAAAATCGATATCTTAATTAAATATACTGATAATATTAAAATAATAATATATCTTAAAAATAAAATATTTTTCAAAATAAACTCACAGTCGGCCTTAAAGGACAATCATTATTCAATAGGTTTTTATATGGGGGCGACATGTAATAAAAAATAATACGGTTTGCTTAACCATTATTAATTTAATTTTGGATAGGTGATCCACAAATATATTAGGAATGAAATAAAGTGTGATTTGACATGTTTGGCATATATATCTTGAGGCATATGGCAATATCATCTCATCTATGTCTTTTTCCATCTATAATTTGGAGAAATAATGTTCAGATAAATCAGTAGGGTTCACTCTGTTATGCAAACTGGCTTTAGTACTTAAATATTTTTCAATTTTTACTGGAGCTCGAAGGAGATATTTAGTGGCTTCTCGTCTCTTGACTTAGGAATTTTCAGATTTTCCACGAATTTATCAAAGGTACATCGATAAAATCGGTGAATATTGGTCACTGCCATTTTTTCCCTCTTTTTATTTTATTTGTAGATATAAGATTATCACACAGATCAATACCACCCATGTGTTGGTTATAAGCAGTGATCATATTTAGTTAAGGAATTGGAAGATATTCTCTTGGAATATTTTGAAACATTAGAGAGCAAAGAGAGGTGTGGTATATCGATGCAACGGTCATCGCCGAATTATCAATATTGTCGCAGATATTGAATTAAAGATGGAGAAAAATGTTTTTCTTTTTAAAAAAAGAATATCAATCATTAATTTTTTTTTTAATTTCGATTGAAAAGGATCGTTCTGTTTTTTTTTTCATTATGTGATTGGGTTTTAAAAAATTATGGAATGATGGAGATAATTTAATTTATTTTTGGAAAGTGAACGAATAAATAAAATTTGGAAAATTGATAGTTATTTTGTTATTTTGGTATTAGTTATATTAATGGTGACGCTGGTTACCAGGATCTGAATTTTAATTGGGAAAAATATTTTAATAGAGAAAAACAAAATTCCAGGACGAGGTTCCTAAAGAAGATCATTCGTATCAGGATTTCAAGGTAAAAGAAATTTTGTTTAAATATATTCTTATACACAAGTGGTACAATTTTAATGATAAAATTTTTATTATAAATATTTAAATGAGAATATTTATTAGTACTCATAGGAATTTCACTTTTAATAAGATGCAGATTTATAAGAATAATATATTCAAAATATTTAATTCAAGTTTTGATAAATTGGATGTGACCAAGGTTACAGCTTTAATTTTTTTCATCTTATATATTTCATTGATTTTTATTATACAATTAATGAAGATAATTAAGAGAAAATATTTTATATATAAAGTGAGTAAGTTAGATGATTCAAGTGTTCTGGATGTAAATTCTATGACATCTGCTAAGTCTTTAGATTTTTTTGAAGATATTTTGATTTTACTTGAACTTAGAAATTTGAATATTCAAAAAATAAATAATTCCAGTGGGAATGAGAAGTCAAATACTGTAAAAGTATTATGATATCAAAAGATATAAGTGATAGTTTAAAACATTTGTGAGTAAAATTAAAAAGCAAATATCTAAAATTGTGATTGATAAACCTTTGAAGGTTATAAAAAGTAATGGTGTTACTAACAATGTTAAACAAATGGATAATGAATGTTTAATTCCAAATGAGATCAAAGAAATTAGAAAAATTTTAAAAAATATTTCTAGAGATATATATATACTTAGAAATAAAAATAATAATTTTAGGGAAAATTGCGATATTTGTGGCCGAAAAAGTCATAGTGGGAAAAATTGTTTTTCACGTGATAGAAAAATTAATGAAAATGTGAGTGTAAAAATTAATGATAAAAATGATATAATCTGTCATCGATGTGGTTTCACAGGTCATATAAAGAGAAATTGTATGGTGAAAGAAGTAAATTTTAAAGATGGTTTTCCAAGGAGACCACCAGTATTGATAAATCCATTAGTTCGTAATATAAAAGATCTTATTATTGCAAATTTAAGTGAAAAAGATGTATGTAATTCGGATAATGACCGAATGTGTTTCAAGTGTGAGGAAATGGATCATGTTGCTCTGAATTGTGTTCAATCCATGAGTGGATTGCAGTGACTATATAATTTGAAAGAGAATCATATAAAAATTGAAAAATCATATATTAATAATAAAATTTGTAATATATATAGTGTTGTTAATAATTATTTTGATATATTTAATAAATGAATTATAGATATTCAGAACCCATTAAATTCAGAGTTGAATTTATGCATGAATATTAATGATTTAGTGATAATTTAAATATAATAAATATAATTCAGCTGATTAGAATGAATAAAATTTTAATGACTGAGAAAGATGTTAATCAGTGTTCATGTCCTCGTGTAAATATAAAAATTGATAGACAAAATATAGGAATGTTGTTTAACACTGGAGCAAGCATTTCAATAATGTCTAGAGCAAATTATTATAAATATTGGTCTGATGGTACACTTGAGAAAGAATCAATGTGTTAGACAATTTGATGGGTATGAAATTTTGGTTTTGTGCAAAACCAAATTGGGGGTGATTTTCAATGATATAACATTTTTTCTTGGTATATGGGTAGTCTTAAACCCAACATATCGAATTAATTGTGGATATAAAATAAATAAATTTAGTGAAAAGATTTATTATTTTAAAAAAAAATTTCAGGCATGAATTATTTTGTAAAAGGATAGTACTTAATGAAGTGGTATTCCTTAAATATGTCCTTTTAATTTTAACAATTTTATTTTTGTAATTTTGTTAAGATCAGCAATGTGAATGTATATAATATTAAAATTTACAACATATGTTAATTAAAGCGATATGTATATTCATTTTTTTTTCCTTTTAAAAAAAAACAAATAGAATGTTGTTATATTCCATGTTTATAGTTCTAAAAGTTCTAAAAGTTATAATTATAAATTTATATTTTTTTTACCCCTCTTCATATCTTTATATTTTTTTTGTGGTCCATACTTATTGGTTTTATAATTGAAAATTAAAAAGAAAAATAATTGTAAAATTTATTTAAAAAAAAATATGATTAAATCTTTAAACTTTTATAATAATTTTAATTAAAAAAATATATATAAAAAATCTAATGATATATAAAAAATGAATTAAAAAATATGTATGTATAAATGAGAAATGGGATAAAATAAAAATGTTTAAAAAATATGTATGTATAAATGAGAAATGGGATAAAATAAAAATGTTTAAAATGTTTAAAAAAAGGGTACAAATCACCTTAGAGAAGAGTGAATGCTTAAAAAATTGGACCGGCAGATTTCCAGGGAAATCAAAGAATTATCCGATTTATTTATACTGATAGGTATTATATTTTGTCTATATATATATTTATAGTACATTAATAAAATAAAGAAAAAAGATCTAGATTAGTAATGTTATACCATAAAACCTTATGTGTTCTTTGATTTAAATTTACAACAAAATAAATTTTCGTTGGACCTTATAAATGATTATTAGACATTATTATTTTAATTATTATATGTAATTTTCTTTATTGTATTGACCTATTAAAGTAAAATAAAAGTGGTTAAAAATTATATGTTGATTTTTTTGTTTGAATAAAACAATCATAAATACGGATTTTATTAATCAAAATTATACGGGTATATGTATTATGAAACACTTGTAAAACAAATTATATTAATTATTTCATATAAATACATGTATTATAACCCACATTTCATATGTCAAATTGCAATTCAAAAGTGTAATTAACCAGGTTAAAAGTCGACAAAATTCAAAGGTACGATTCGATAAATGACGAAAGAAATGATCAATGCCCTCAAATTACGATAATTAGATGGTAACTTCGCTTATGAAGGGTGGGCGTGTCGCAGATGTTGAATTAAAGACGGAGAAAAATGTTTTTCTTTTTTTAAAAAAAAGAATGTCAATCAATAATTTATTTTTTTTGATTATTTTTAATTTTTGAAAAGGATCATTTTGTTTTTTTTCATTGTGTGATTGGGTTTTATAAAATTATAGAATGATGGAGATAATTTAATTTATTTTTGGAAAGTGAAATTGAATAAATAAAATTTGGAAAATTGAAATTAGTTATTTTGGTATTAGTTATATAAATATCATTCCAACAAACTAATAATATCTCGTAATTTTTCATAATCATAATTTGTAATTGTAAAATATCCTATTCGTTGTATTACAAAAGTTTAAATGAGGTAAAGAAATTATCAAAATATATTTTATGATAATTGATTTTTGTAATGCCTTTAATAGTTTTATGATTTGATATATATCAAATGAAAATATGTAACCGTCGGAAGAAGCCAATATTCAAGATTTGTATCCGAATCTATTTGGTTTTCCTTTTAGGAACAATTTGCAAGAATGTCTTCCTTGGTATGGTATCTGTTATGGGGTATGACTAAATACTGCATTGCTAAACTGCATTGCTAAAATGTATTGCCAAAAAGCAATTAATCATAATCAATCAAAATTTGATTATATAATTTTTAGAAACATTTTTTTAATGTACATAAATCAATTTTTTATTAAGTAAAAAATTGAGATTAAATATCTAATATAATATTCTATTTTTACTTATTATTAATGGGAAAATAAATATTTTTACTAGCTTATTACAACTTAAATTTTATTTTCCAATTACAATATTTAACAAATATATATCCATAAGAGGGCGTTAAATACATAAATATGAAGATATATTTTAGGAAATCAGAATATTTATTGGATAGCGCTATTTTATATTTGGGTGTAAATACATGTGAAAAACCTAAAAAAAAATTTAAAAATATAGGTTTCTTTGACATTTAATTAATGAGTATGAGTAGGTTTAAAATCGAAAAATAGTAGAAAATTTGTAAGGCATATATTGCTGGCGTTATTGATCAAAATCTCTTCATTGTTGGTTTATACGTGTAGGTGTTAAACATTATCCTAAAAAATATTTTGAAAATATTATGATTTGACCGAATGCCGAGCTCAAAACCGACCACTTACTAAATATTTGATCGACCAAATTTGGTAGTAATATTATGTGGAAAATGTTCATCTGTGGTTTATTTATCTATAAATACGTGTAAAACAATATCCCAAGAAATATTTTTATAATATCGTGATTTGACGGATAACCGATTTGGAACCGAAATACTGCATTGCTGGCGTTATCCAGGGAAAAT